AATTATACTTTCAATGCATTTGCAGTCTTTCCTTACCAACTGACAAAAAAAAAAGAAAAGAAAAACTTGCTCATGTGGTAGCTGCTCTATGCTCTAGCTGCTCGTCCTCTCTGGTATCAGAAGAAAGTTCTTTCTTCTCAAACCCTGTGAAGGTGACATGGAAGTGGTTATTAAAATGGCTAATGGGAACATCCTCTCCTAAAGCCAGGGAGTCTCCTCAAAAATCAGCAATGGAACAAATGCAGATTACCTCATAAAAAGAAAAGATGGGAGCTGAATGCCTGCCTACCTACAGAGGGCTGCTGTGTTAAGTGATACTGCATTTGTGCAACGGAATGTAGGAGACTGGTCTTCATATCATGTTGAAGGATGAAAACCATGATTTTAGGTTTCTCTGCATAGCCTTGGCTGTCCTGGAAGTCACTCTGTAGACCAGGCTAGCCTCAAACTCACAGGGACCTGCCTTCCTCTGCTGAAGTGAGGTGTGGTATGGTATCCTGACTTGCTGCCCTATAGCACTTATGCACAGACTGTTAGAGGAACCTGTATCTATGACCTGGAATGTCAGAGCTGTGGCTTCTGTTGGGAATGGGGAAATAGAGGATTCAGTACCAAGACAAGAAGAAAATAACAGTCACTCCCTGCCCTTTTGTCTCTATCCTGGGAAAAGATGACAGGAAATAATTTTAAGGCAAGAGGGTGTATAGCACATTTGGAGATGTTTTTCTTTACTCTTTAGAATGTTGCCCATTGAAATGGGCATGAGCACCAGGTACCAGGAAGACTTAACTGCCTGAATGCCACCCCTCATTTCCTGATGATGGGGGGTGAATCCACCATTGCTCTTGTTTGCTGATTTACTTGTGGTTGCAAAGCTAGCAGCACAATCATGGCACTAAAGAGACTGGATTTAGAGAAAGGGCAAGGGCGCTGTTCACCAGGGACATAAGGCAAAGAAGGGGACCAAATGGGAAGTTGGTCCTTCTTACACCAGTGGAGGGGTGAGGCTTTGTGGACACCTGTGAGCCTGTATAAGAGCTGCACTTTGTGTTTCAAAGGCAAGACATCAAAGGTCAGTCAAACAGAACAGTGAACTGCTTCCTTCACACAAAGCTGCACTGAAAGGAACAGGTTCAGTGACCAAGAACTGCATTTGGGGTACTGTACAAAAGGCAATGGCACCATTTCTGTTCTCTGGGTTTTGAAGCCCAGGTGGTTAGCACAAGGGCAGCCCTGGACTTGGCACTACAAGCATGGCTTCCACATAAGAAGTCAACTGCAAAGCAATTCCTTAAATAGCTAAGCTGCCCACAGGGCTGATTGATAAAAGATCATAGCAATATGCCTCCCGCATGCCTTAAAATATAGGTTTTTCACAAGACAGTGATATTTCAGCATCTTTTTGAAAGTTAGCAAAACTAACAGTAGGGAGCCTGCTTTTCTTGCCTGCTGACGACCCATTGAACTGACAGGGACTGTCCTGTCATCTTACCTGTGGTCTACTTCACAGTCATTTGCAGACACTTCAGTGTGCAAGTCCCAGGCCTCACCTACGGAGGCACTAGCAGGCAGGACATGGTGGCTTGGTAAACTGGCCATGCAAGGCATTTTAGAGTACAGCTGCTAAAAAGATCACAGCATTTCCCTTTGACTCAAAGTGTGCATCACATCACATCACACCCAGGCTTTGGAAAATCCAGACGATGCGGAGTGGGCAAGGTCCTGGCCATCCAGCAAGTGGTACCAGGAATGTTATAGGAGGACCTAAGTGGCCATTAGTAGACAAGCTGATCGCTGCCTGCTTCCCAGAGCTCACAGAAGTGGACAGTGCCTGAGAAAACAGATGACCACATGCAGATTTACCATAAAAGAGTGGGTGGAGTGGTGTCTTAGAGAATGACAGTGAAGGCGGACAGGAAAGGTGATAGAGAAGCTAAGGCCTGAACAGAGATAATGGGCAGTCAGATAAGGAACTCGATCAAGAGGGCGTTGCGTGGAGGGAACAGCAAGGGCCCCGGAGTGGAAGAGCTTGAAACAGTCCAGGGACTGGAACAACACCAGTGTCTGAACACAGTGAGTGAGGAGGGAGGTGCCTGAAGCTGCTGATGGAGACGGTGGCTGGAGACGGTGTGTCAGGTCACCGTCTGTGAGTAAAATGTTTGAGGTTTATCTACCCCCGAGAAGAAGCTACAGGGAGAGATAGGAATGATATGACTCACTGTAAAGGTCTAAGACAGTGGTTCTCAACTTTCCTAAGGCTGCAACCCTTTAATCCAGTCCCTCATGCTGTGATGAGCCCCCAACCATAGGTTTATTTCCATTGCTACTTCATGACTATAATTTTGCTACTGTTATGAACCATGATATAAATATCTGATTCAGAGGATGTCTGATCTGCAACCCCAAAAGGGATTGTGATCCACGGGTTGAGAACCGCTGGTCTAAGAGCTCTGATCAAACTATCTGGGGAAAGACTCAGCAGAGCAGCACAGCTAACAGTCAGAGACAGTGGAAGACAGCGACACAACTGTGTCAACATATGTGACCTTCTCTCCCTCCATCTGGTTACAGTTCCTTCTCTTGTTCCTTTCATCTCTATTCTGGAGCTCATGTCTCGTGGCTGTCTAGTCTACATGTGGTAGAGAGTTTGGCTTCCCTTCTCTCTTCTTCACTAGCCTACGTGAGTGCACGCACACACACACACACACACACACACACACACACACACAGTGATTTCACACAGCCACACAGTTGGTGATGGTAGCACACGGGCAGAGGGGCAGATGGAGGAACTTTGATTGGCTAGAATGTAGGAGTCATTAGAGGCCAGCGAGGATGCTGGCAGTCTGGTGAAGCAGGGCTAGATGGTGGTGGACTTTGAAACTGTAGGCTAGAGGAAGCTGAATATGATTTGGGAGCCAACTGGGAGCCTTTCTGGGCATGAGAAGAGCAGTGCAGTGTGATCTAAGTGACTCTGGAGGGAGATGATTCTTGATGATGTGTGTCCAATGGATGGAAGGAGACACAGGCTGCAAGAAGAAGAGCTAATTGGGAGACAAGAGTCCAGGTGTGAAGCTATTATGGCTCTGCTGACCGGTGCTGCCAAAAGAATGAAAGCAGAGGAAGAAAGAGCCGAATTTAATCTTGAATTCCATCTGCCTCTGGGTGTGTATTGAGTAGGAGACGAAGTACAAAGATGAGATGAGTAAGAACTGGGAATATGCTTGACAAGAGCGTGGAGCTATGAAAGGATTGAGGACCCTGAGGTAGGAAGGTTAAAGGTAGGATTAAACATAGGAGCTGTCAGGGAAGCATTTACTGAAATGCATCTCTTCCCCCCCTCCTCTACTGTGAATGGTCAGTTCCTTTCCCTGGTGGGTTTTGGCTTCTATTTTTCTACCGTGCATGCACCATGTGTTCTAATTCACTTGGGCCTGTCTAGGTGTGCTAGTGAAGATCTATAAGTCCCCAATTACAGAGTCTCTCATTCACTCTCTATTCACAGAGACCTGTTAGCTGAATAAGTACTCGTAGCACACTTTTGGTGAATGGGTGTTCTCCTCAACTCCAGACAATGATAACACCGTAAAGCTTCAAAAATGCGTGGCAGCTTATGGTGGCTTGAGTGAGAACTGGCCTGTAGTCTTAGGTATTTGAACATTTGGTGCCCAGTCAGTGGAGCTGTTTGGGGGTGGAGTTATGGAGCTTTTTTCTTTTTTCTTTTCTTTTTTTTTTTTTTTTGTTTTTGTTTTTCGAGACAGGTTTCTCTGTATTATTTTAGAGACTGTCCTGGAGCTCGCTCTGTAGACCAGGTTGGCCTCGAACTCACAGAGATCCGCCTGTCTCTGCCTCCCAAGTACTGGGATTAAAGGCATGCACCACCAACGCCCGGCGGGTTATGGAGCTTTTAGGAGGTACAGCTTTGTTGGTGGAAGTCTATCACTGGATGGGCCTTATGCATGTATAGCCTTGTCTCACTCTGAGTTCACCCTCTCTACGTGTTTGTAGTTGATGTGTTATCTCTAAGCTTCCTGGTCTGGTGCCTGCTGCCACACCTCCTTTGCCACAATGGACTCTCCTTCTAGAACTATATGCCAAAATAAACTATTGTATATGTTGCTTTTGCTCATGGCATTTTATCACAGTAACAGAAAATAACTGATGCAGTAGATGGGGTACCAGGACATTTGAGGTCGTTGATGTTGGAACTTCCAGCATCATATTGATCCCACCCACCTCACGTCAGGCAGGGCACGCACAGTGACGCAGCCACGTCATCACTACGTCACTCAGGAGTGCGCATGCGAGAACTTCTCCTTTTAGAGCTCTGCGTCATTTCACTCCCCTCTCTCTGCTTTGGTTGGTCCCTTCTAACCGCCCCCCCGTTTCTCTTCTCTACCAATAAACTCCACGTGAGTCTGTTGATTCGCAGTTCGTGTTTCATTACCAGTCACTGCAGCAAAATAACAACGAACATGACCATGTTGTATTTTAGAGGAATCTGGAACTAAAAAAACAGTTGGATGCCATAAACAGAGCTAAGTAGGCCGTTCTATAGGAGCCTTGAAGATAGTAATATGGAGAATAACACATATGGACTAGGGTGGCTCAGCTTATGAGACTTCAGAGGGAAGCAAGTACGTTAACAGCAACTGGACTAGAGGCCATACTGTGGTACTCTGGCCTCCTTCTGCCTTTGTTTTAAAACTTGACTGAGACTAAACAGAAGTAATGGAATAATTTCTTTGGTGGAGAAAATCTCAAGGCAGTGTCATGTTGAGTCTGTGTGGCTGTTACTGAACACTCTTATGCAGGTCTATGATGAAAAAAGAACACAGGGATCAGAAATAAATGCATGTGCAGTTTGGAAAGAAATGAACATTAGGAAATTTAATATTACAGCCAAGGCATGTGCTGACAGAGAGCATGAAACTACTAAGGAGTTTAGCATCATTAAGGCAAGGCCTTCTGCTCCACACTGAAACAATGGGAAGGGTGACCTCAGGACAATATCCCACACAGCTTAAGCTTTCAACTTATAAAAGAAAAGGCCTAAGGAATTTTCAGCTCCTAAAAAATAACAACATACAAATACTCTCACAAATGTGATTCAGGGGACAAGTGTCCGCCCCAAGCTGGCAGTTTAACTGACAGTGTCATCCACGCGGTACTGACTGGCTTTGGAGGCATGGAAGACATAGGGTGAGGAGGTATGGATTCTCCTCCTGTGAATTCAAAGAGCGGCTGAGGTCAGGCACACACAGGAGGGGTACCCCAGGAAGGCTGTGAGAAGCCACAGGATGAAGCTGTGGAACTGGAGCCTGGCTTGAGGCAGAGATCCAAGATGCTGGTGATGCAGGAGCTCTGAGATGTCTGCTAAGAAGGGCTGCGCACACCGAGAGGAACCAGCCCAAGGGAGGGAGTGTGCTGCAAGTAGCAAAGCTAGAGGAGTGCAGCCACTCAGCCTGTTGCAACTGAAGGTCCAGACTCTGGGGCTGCAGGAATTCGTTTGCTTCTGCTGGGCTTCAGTCTTGTTTTGGTACAGTAGTTCCTCACTGCTGATTCTTCCCTTATGGAATGGAAATTTATATGCTGTGCTGTTGTATGTTGGAAGTACATAATCTCCTTTCTCTCTTTCTTTCTTTCTTTCTTTCTTTCTTTCTTTCTTTCTTTCTTTCTTTTTCTCTTTACAGGGACCACAGTTGAGAGATTGCTTTGAGTCTCAGAAGAGACTTTGGACTGTATAACAGTGTTGAGTCTGTTAAAGACAATGGGGAATTTTAAAGGTTGGATAAAGACATTTTGCGTTGTCAAGTGACCATGAACCTATGGGAGTCAGGGAGAAGAATGTTGTAGTTTGGATGAGGAACATTCCCAATAGGCTCAGCTATTTGAATACTTGGTCCCATAGTAGGACTGTTTGGGGGGAGGTTATATAACCTACAGGAAGTATAGCCTTATTGGAGGAAGTATGTCACTGGGGTGGGCTTTGAGAATTTATAGCCTCATCCTACTTCAAGTTTACTCTATCTGCCTTGTGTTTGCAGTTGAGATGTCATCTCTCAGCTCTGGCTACCTGCTGCCACACCTGCTTTGTCATTATCAACTCCCACTCAGGAACCACAAGTCAAAATAAACTCTTCCATAAGTTACCAAAAGGTCGTGGTATTTTATCACAGCAACAGTAAAGTAACTAATACACAGCTATAGAATTCCTTGAACACTCGTGGAGATGAGTGAATAGCTGAGGGCCTCTCCTTCCCCTGCCCTGGAGTCCCAGCTATTAGGAGCCATGGTCAGGAAGTCCTGGAAGTAGCACTGTGATTGGCTGACAGACAGGAGGAATTAAGATGATTCTGAGAAGATCTAACATCAAATTACAGGGTTTTTTAGATACTGCTGGGTATCAAATGGACTTTCACCCTTAAAATCTGGTCAGCAAATATGCAGCCCTCTACTGCCTAACTAGCCCTCTGAAGGATGTAAATCCCAGTGTTGGCAGAGACCACAGGAACGGCTTAGCATATTCTCACCCTGTTGCTTTCACAGAAATTACATTTGTGTTACAATGAAATGTGAAACCTGGAAAACACATAAAAAATGAGCCTTTCCCTACCACATGCTAAAGTGAGGTTGTTAAACTTTCTGGGTAATTATTATTTAATTAGTTTGTGCTTTGGACAGGCACTGGGAATAGAATTTGGTATTCACAGCAAGTGCACTCGGGGGTTAGGTGTAGACAGTTCTATTATCCCATTCTAGAAGATGAGCCTCATTTTAGAGACTGGAACCCTGAGTGGGTGATCTTGTAAGGACATCACTTGATTATGCAACCAGCTCATAGACTGAGGGATGGAGCTCCATGAAGGACAGAGCGTTGTCTATATATGAGCACTGATGAAAACAGCCCAATCCTCCTAGAAGGTATGTAAAATGATGGTACTCAAGACTCCACCTTGGAGTGGGTCTTGTGGGCACATATCCGGAAGAAAAGAAGACATTCATGACACCAAATGCCTTCTCAAAAGAACAGCTGGAGGTCGCTGAAGCATCATGATAGCCTAACAGTCTACTCATAGGATACCTGTTTTCTCATCTCCTTCTCTCTCCACATCCCCTTCCCAATGGGTAAGCAGCTGGATTGGGAGGTATAATGAGTATTCTTTCCTGCCAGCTGCTTTGGTCCTGCCACTGTCTCTGCCCCCAAATAGCACACGAAACACTATATTAATTATGAAGCTGTTGGCCGTTTTCTATGGTTTCTTATTGGCTAGCTCTGACTTAATTAATAACCCACAATTACTAGTATATATTTTTATAATGTCTTATCTTACCGAGGACACAACCATGTGTCCTCTCTTCCCAGGATCACATGGCAACCCTCTACTCTTGACTACCTTTCCCAGAATCCTCCTCCTAGTCCCACCTATCTTGCTTCCCTATTGACTAACAGTGCTTTATTTATCAACCAATCAGACAAACATACATATAGAAGGATTTCCCCCATCTGGAAGGCAGGAGTATTTTCAGTTTCATCTATGAAGAACAGCTTGTAAGTTAGAAAGGAGCAGATTTTGGAGTTGTCCATGCCTGGGTCCTGTTCTCAGAATCATCCTTTCTGGCAGAATGACCTTGCAGGGAGGATCTAGGCTTCTTAGGCTTCCTTTCTTGCACATATTTGGAAGTTGATGATTCTACGTGACAAGCTGTAGATTTAATAAGAGGGTTAAATCACTGTGAAAATTTCAGGTTTGGCATTGGAAGAAGCTCTGGGAACTCCTCAGAGGAGGGGGAGGAAGATTGTAGGAACCAGAGGGGTCAATGACACCAGGAGAACAAGGCCCACAGAATCAACTAAGTAGGGCTCACTTGGATTCACAGAGACTGAAGCAGCAACCATGGAGCCTGCATGGGTTTGCACCAGACTCTCTGCATATATGCTGTGGTTGTTTAGCTTTAGGGATTTTGTGGGATTCCTAGGAGTGGGAGTGGGGCTTGTCTCTGATTATTTTGCCTGCTCTTAAAATCCTTATTCCACCTACTGGGCTGTCTCATCCAGTTCAACCTTGATAGGAGGCTAGTCTTATTCCCATGAGACTCTCTTGTTATGCCAAGTTCAGCTGATACCACTGGGGGGCCTGCTCTTTTCTGAAGGGAAATGGAGGGGCAGTGGATCTGGGGGAGAGGGGAGGCAGGGGGTGCTGGGAGGAGTGAGGTAGGGGGAGGCTTCAGTCAGGATGTATTGTATGAAAGAAGAATAAATAAAAAGAAAAAGGAAAAAAGGTTTCTGTTTGGAAAATAAGGAAAGACAGATAAGTAAACAACACTCAATAAAGAATTGCTGAAACTTTCATCTGCATTATAAAAGTTTCCTTAAAGCTTGTGTGTTATTATTTTTTGTTGCTGAGATAAAACACCATGTCCAAAAGCAAACTACAGAAGAAAGAGTTTTTTGAGTTTAGGGTTCCCAAGGGGTAGGAATCCATGTCAGGGTGGCATGGGAACAAGTGGCGGGCACGGCTGTAGGACAGACAGCTGAGAACACACATCTTGAACCACAAACAGGAATCAGAAAGAATCCTGAGAGCTCAAAGCCCATCCCCAGAGATATACTTCCTTCAGCAAAACTGTGGCACCGAAACCTCCCCAAACAGTGCCGCCGAATGGGGACCAAACATCCGAGATTAGGCAGGGAGGCATTCCCATTCAAACCACCACACATGGCTTTTTCCAGCAAAATAAATGGTTGGAACCAGAAATGACAAGAAAGCAGAATTCTAGGACATAAGCTAGTGTTTAGTAACAGTTACTTTAAAACTTGGTGTGTTGAAATGATAAACGGTATATCATGGTTTCTGTGGGTCAGGAATTTGAAAGCTGATGAGCAGGGTGTTTAGCTTAGAAACAGTAGTCACCAGGCTGCAGTGTCCTGAGGGTTTGGCTGGGGACTGGAAGATATGCTCTTGAGATGGCTCACACATACGACTTTGGGTGGGAGGCTTCAGGACACATGCACCTCTCAGCAGAACCAATGGAGTACCCTGACAATGTGGCAGCTGGCTTCTCCTAGGGCGAAGGATCTGAGGAGAGCCAAGAGGAGGCCCCTGCGTCATTTATGTCCAAGACGGACCCCATCACATCCACCCTTTTCTGTTTGTTAGAAACAAGTCATTAAGTCTAGCTCATTCAAGGGGAGGTAATTAGTTTCCACATGTTGAAGGGAGACGTACTAGAAAATGTTTGAACAGAAATTGAAAGCAATGAAGCTAACATTTACTTAAGTGTAAAGATGATCCTGGTGGCCAGGAGGCATGTGTATGGGAAACTAGGGACTCTGAAAATATTACCCTTCAAGGACTGCACTGTCATTGGGAGAATCCGACTCACAGAGGGCATTTGTCTGCCTGGGTGTCAGCCTAAGTCTAAGTCTAAGAATTTATACTTAGACTTACACTACCTCACAGACTAAAATCTCCTAAGGAAGAGTGTCTGTGAAGTAACATCTCTCTGAAAAGCAGAGTCTTCAAATAATTATTAAATCTCAAGGAATATGAGGTGACAGTCAGAAATTGGTGTTATAAAACCATCATAAAGTAAGCAACAATGTCTAAGAGACAAAAAAGCTACTAGAAATGCTAGGCTGACCCCACAGGAACTGTGATAGAACTGACCCCTGAACCAGACAACACAGTTACAATATGTAGATGTGCGTGTTTCATATGGCCCTTTAGTCGGATCTGGGTGAGGCTTGAGGAAGTAGCAGTCAATCTAGCATCTGCACTGTAGACTTAAGATCTATTTCAGGAAAGCATGAGATTGAAGAGTACAGGTGGTGAAGGGGCACAGAGCAATGGATTTGTCCTTCAAGAAGACACACACACACACACAAAGTCACAGAAGAATAATGCTATACTACCTTCGGCTATTACAATGGCAAGCCATGGTTTTGTGAATGTCCTGGGGCCCCTGTCAGGGTGACAAAGGGCAAAGAACAGAAGTGAACTTTAGTTCTGACTTTCTACAATGTGACTGCAGAGATCCAAATTATGAATTTAAATTGAGTTTTGCTAAAACTCAAAAGAAGTACAGGTTGGGTTTCTTTTTTGATAGCTTTTTAGTATATAGTCTTGACTTGTCTACAACTCACTACATAGACCAGGTTGTCTTCAAAAATCATAGAAATCTACCCACTGTTGACTTCAAAGCATTTAGATTAAAGGAATGTGCCGCCAGGGCCAGCTAGGTTATTCATTTGGTAAGAATTACTCTGTTGGTAATATGGGGGTCTGATTTGGGGATGCACTATAGTTTAATTTCTGATGGTCTGTTTTAAGATTACATTTGTGCTTGGGGGTGGAGAGTGGGCAGGGCATGCAGATGCAGTGGTGTGGATATAGAAGTCAGAGAAGGGCTTCTAGGAATTGATTCTCTCCTTCTAACATGTGGCTCCTGAGGATTAAGCTTAGATCATCAGGCTTGGTGGCAAGAACCTTCACCTGCTGGACCATCTCTCTAGTCTCCACTTACCCAATTTTAAAGCCCCAGTAAACTGCGGGGGAGGGGGTCTATAGTTAGGAGCACTGGGACTATATTCTTGCTGCAAATTTCCACTGCAAGGCAGAGGAGAGCTGGCAGCCACATCCCAGCCTTGTGCCAGCCATGGTCTCCCCACAGAAACTTTTGCAAATCCAATGACCTCAGCAGCTCATTCTTTGTTGGGAAACCATTATCAGCCAGGACTATGATTAGACACATCTGCCTACCTAAGGGGTCTGTAGGCTCCTTGAGGGAATTAGATCTCCTATTTTTTGTTAGCTTGGATATTTAATTACATATTTAGCACACTCCATGTGTATACATGATCTGATACTGACATTGGTTTGCTAGCTCTACTGCCCAATGAGAGCAGATTATTGATAGGAAATTGCATATGTGTAATTATAAAGTACCTGTACATGTGTGGCAATGTCTTTATTTTAAATGTTCATACTTTCTTTGAATGAATTTGAGAATATCGGTAAGGGTGATATGTTGGGAACTTGTCTTGTTGTGAAAAAAATATACGAGGAAAGCAACTTAAGGAAGGGTTTCTTTTGCCTCACAGTTTGAGTGTTCAGTCCACCATGATGGGGAGGTCC